AAAGTGTATAAATGCTATTTCATTGCTTAATCAGATTGTTTATTCTACTTTCAGAGAAGTCATGGCTGTCCAAGGTAAAAAAGCCACCAAACAATTTTCATCATCAACAACTTCTATGGGTTCTGATGAAGATCTCAAAGTTTACTGTCAGCCATGTGATCGAGATGGACCTAGACTTCCTGCTCACGGCTATTGTACAAACTGTTTAGAGCATTTGTGTGAAACATGCTTTACAGTACACAAAAGACATACATTATCAAGACACCATACTCTACAAGACAAATCTAGCATGCCTCAGACTCTGTCACCTGTAACTCCAAGACAATCAGATAACTTCACAAAACCATGTCCTAAACACAACATGGAGATGATCAAGTTTTACTGTTATGACCATGAGGCTTTCCTCTGTAGTGTTTGTGTCACACTTGACCATACTGCAGCATCTTGCAAAGTCAATTATATACCAGACATTTCAGACAAGGTCACAGACAGCAAAGAATATCAAAACATATTGAAGGATATCAATGACATGACAGAAAGATCTAGCAAAACACTTCAAGACATTAAGAAACGAAATGATGAATCAAACAAATCCTTATCAGATGCTTTGACAGACATAAAGAAATTCCGGACAAAAATCAACCAAAGGCTGGATGAATTAGAAAGAATAGTCAAGGAGGCTGCACAAGTCATCCAAAAAGACAACAGCAAGACATTGATGAAAGTAGAAACAGTATGTGGAGATGTACAAAAATGTCTGAAGTCATCAATGGATGCTGTTAAACATTTCAACACATCCAAACAAGCCAATGATTTGTTCATGGAACTAAAACAAGCCAAACAGATGATAAAAGATTATGAGCAGAGTGTTGCCTTGCTCTCAGAAACTGAAGTCAAAGAATACAACTTTGAACCAAATGAGGCAATATCAAATCTACTTGATAAAGAGAAATCCATTGGGACATTGAGAACCAAAACATTAAAACCAGATTTGAAGTCTAGACAAAAGTTACATATCGATAAAATCTGTATCAAAACATCACAAGATAAGGACCATTGCTATATACAAGGAATGACTCTCCTTACTCCTGATCTTCTAATCGTCACAGATTGGCTTAATAATGCCATAAAAATGATTGATATCAACAGAAAGTCTGTACTAGCTCAGCAAAGCTTTGCCAGTCAACCTACTGATGTCACATCAGTTTCACGAAATGAAGTAGCAGTCATATTTCCAGGCTATCAAACTGTTCAGTTTATAAATATATCTCAAAATAACTTCAGCAACAAGCACACTGTGACGGTTGATGGATCATGTTTCGGTATAAGCTGTCACAATGATAAAATGGTTGTGTCATTTTTGTATCCTCGTAAAGTTCAAATCCACCTTATCAATGGAACTCTATTACAGACCATCCAAAATATGCATATTTTCAAAACACCAAAATATATTGCAACAAGTGACAATTGTATCTATGTATCTGATCCTGAAATGAAAACAGTTACCAAGTTAAACTGGCAGGGTGAGGTGAAAGGCAAATTTGTTTGTTCAGGACAACCTTACGGCTTGGCAACATCAGAAGAAGGGAGTTTATATTTTTGTAATTTTGACAGCAATGCCATAGAAGAGATATCCCAGGACTTTACTGAAGGGAAGATTGTCGTTAAGGATATAAAAAAGCCCCAGAATGTCTTCTGGTCTGGCGAAAGATGTACACTGTACGTAAGCAGTAGCTTTGGGAATGATACAAATGAAGATAACTTTATCAAAATGTTCAAAAAGTAATGATTAGATAAATCGCTGGGATGTGTATAAATGTATGAAGAAAACAAGACAGGAAGCTAAATGTCAAACACCCTGTTTCGTCACACACCTAATATGTATAACTTGAAAACAACAGAATTTTTTTTGCAGAATATATTAACTTGCAATCGTAAAACTTCACTGCTTCTTGTGTTTCTTCCTGTTCAGGCAGGCCAATATTGTACATCAAAAATTTGAAAGCAGCTTTGCAGAAAGTGCATTATTTAAGGGTCCTTGCGTCATACCATCATGTCAAACAATTAAGTTCATGTTATATCATTAGCAGACAAAATTTTAAGTTTTATCAACATGAATACCATTGCAGTGATAATTGTTTGTACCAACATATTAATAATATCTGTCATATGTTGCGGTTCGGACCGGAATTGAGGCTTGCCGAGTTACCGCCCATGGGCGGGTTCCCGAGGGACGGATATTCCGATCCGAACCGCAAACATATGAAAGATATTTTTTCTTGCATATTCTGCCATATTATTTCATATTTAAAATGGTTTACCTCAATATGATATATGTTCATGGAAATTAAAGTCATTTCATTCATAACTATTTTCTTACAATTGCGTATGAACTTACAACTTAAATAACAACGGCGAAATGACGTCATCCTAAGACATATTTCCCTTCTAAAACGACGTCATTTTAACGCGGTTCATTCATAAAGTGCGCTAAAATGACGTTGTTGTTTGGCACGCGACTCATCTGGCACCCCCCATGCCAGATGAAATTTCCGGCATGGGTAAAACTCACGGAGACGCCAGTCTGCTATGCAAGAAATCAAGTTGAACTGCTTGGAGGTACTAGGAACTATACACATGTAGTACATACTGTCAAACCTGCCTATAGTGGTCAGTAAGAGGACTGAGCTAAAATGACCACTGCAGACAGGTGTCCACTATATCCAGATTGACATGAATATTGTTATAAGAATAATGGATGAATTCTGTTGAAATATATTCATTTTTATTACAAAAAGCAAATACTATATCAATTTGCATTATACAATCTACATGAAATAGTGTTATTTTTTAATATACATGTATGTAAATAATACTTTTTTTCATAATAAATCAATTTTTTTTGTAAATTCAATTTCAATTCTTATGTTGGCCGTAATTTGACTAATGGAAATAATATGTTCATAAAAAAGTAGCCACAACAAAACTGGCTTACAGATGGCTAATAAAACTCACTTGCAAACTGAATTTGATCACGATACTAAGATTCTTAGATAACCTGTGAAGTTGTACAGTAACATTAATTTTATTTAGATTATTTGATAACCTCCTTTTGTAATTGCCTTACAAAATTGGTTGATGCACAAGTAAAAATATACACTTCTATATTATAAATTTCCTTAAAAATACATATAATGACTTACAATTCCAGTTAGCTGATAAAGATCTTTATTACGCTGTATTTGTTCCGCAAGCTTCTTTTGAAGGTCAAGTAACGCCACATTTTCCTCCTCCGAGGTGATCTGACCCAACAGCCTCGGCACAGGTGGTGGTGGTAGTGGCACCAAGTACGCTCCAGTGGCTGACTGGAATACCAACAACACAAATATTATATGAGCCGCACCATGACAAAATCAACATGGTGCGTTTGCGACCAGCATCAATCCAGACCAGCCTGCGCATTCGCGCAGTCTGATCAGGATCCATGCTGTTCGCTATCAGTTTCTCTACTTGTTGTAGCGTTTGTACATGAACAGCATGGATCCTGATCAGACTGCGCAGATGTGCAGGCTGGTCGGGATCCATTTTAAACGCATTATGTTGGTTTTATTATGGCGCGGCTCAATTATAAAAGTATCTAATAATAAAACACAGCAAAATCACGATAACTGTATTAAAAATCAAAACACAGAACGCGCTGAATTTGTTTGGGTCTCAGAATGTCAGAAAGGAGAAGGTTGTGACATTATAAAACAATTTGTTTTTGTATAGTGCCACGAATGCTTTCCAGCGTTTTATTTGTAGTAGAATGGCTATAAGACTAATTGCAACACTGATATTCGATGCAATGTTTATTTGACTTAAACAATTTGAAAAAAAAAAAATGAGTTGCCTTAACTGGGAATTGAACTCCAGACCTCTCGCTTCCTAAGCGAGCGAGCAAACCCCTCGGCCACGGTGAATTTATATGTTAACGGCCTGAGGAAAACCATATTATTCTAGTTAGGGTTTGTAACGATGCTAACTGTTGTTTAACACTTGTGTAAATAATCATGGCGCTTACTATAAGCATGTATATCTATAAAGAATAAAACAATATTAGAAATCTTCGACCATTCGGGAATTATTTTGCACCTTTCATGTTACCATATTTACGCAGTGATCTCCCCTAAATTTTTCGGCCTAAGTGTTACATATAAAGGGAAGTAACCGCTTAAAAAAAGCGAACTACTTTTGGCACTTGCAATTAACAGCATTAGAGTCTGAAATTTAGCTACCATTATTTGTTTGGTCTGACAACCCAAACAAATAAACAAGAGGGCCATGATGGCCCTGAGGTCGCTCACCTGTATATAGGCCCCCCCCCCCCCCCGGGCCAATTTTACCCAAGGGCTTTTATTTGAACAGACTTGGTAGACACCCATAAGAAGATGTTTCATGCTAAACATCTAAGTTCTAGCTCATTGGGTTTTTTAAAAGAAGATTTTTTAAGTTTTTACTATACACATACAGTGTTCAATCTAGAACAAATTTCCAGGGGGCCCTTCGGGCCCATAAACTTTTCAAAAGGGGGTCATTTGAGAAAAAAGGGGGCCAACACTTAAAATGAACATCTAATTCAAATAAGGTATTGTATCTTTTTAAGTTACTTGTTCATGTACCATATATAGACCAAAAACGGTTGCAAAATTCCATAACAATCAACTCAACTAAAAAAATGACATTATTTGGACCTTTTTCGAGAGTTCTGTTACCGTTGATGCAGACTCAATTTTTAGAACTGATTGATAAAGAAACAATGACATAATGTTCAAAGAAACATATGAATCTTATTTAATTACCAGGGATATTTGATAACAATGTTCAGTTTTTTAATCAGCGCCCGATATATAATTAAAAATAAAGGACAATCATATTTTGCAATTAGCTTATAAACTTACAATAGTCGCTAAAAACATTTACCCTTCTCAATATATCCAAGCTAAAAACAAAGTGTCAACAGGTGCTCAGAAATGTATATTGACATACCGGTGCCTTTGATCTTTTGTCAGGGCAGCAGTTCTTACGTCACGCTTAAGATGTCTGTATTGATTAATGATATGCACAATGTTTTAGCGCCGACCAGCCAAAGACCAATCAAAGTTTATTTACTCAATTGTCAGACACTCACTAGCCAATCGTGTTTGATTAGCTCCATCTTTAAGACTTTTTTAATTGGTTGAAGGCGTGTTCGTAATAATTTATGCACACCTCTATAATTAACTCGCACTTTTTAACAAATACCGGTATACTGCAGTATAGTTTTTTTTCCTCCGGAAAGTTATCGCATATTAATTTGTTTTGACCGTTGAAAACTTTTAACTACCCGCACGTATTGGATTATCTGTGATGATTTGTTTTGTTTATAAAAACTGTGACTCAAAAGTAAGTAATAGTTACGGTACGAAGAACAGGTCTGCATAGTATTTACAGACCCGGGTCGAGAGAGCGAAGCGATCAAGGTTTTAAAAGGGTTACCGAGTGCGGTAACTATCTTACCAACATGCTCTTGTTTTTCTATACAAACTTCAGTTTTGAATTCAGTATTTATTAATATTATTCACAAGAAACTTTTTTTATGTTTAAGAAAGCATTCTAATGTCATTAATGGCATTTTCTCTGAGTGCGCCCGTCGGGCCCACAGCTGAATTTGTTTTGCGCCGGCGGTCTTTTCAGGGGGTCAATGGCGCAATGGCGCGCTCTAGATTGAACACTGCACATATAGTTAAAAACAATGACACCCCTGGGGCAGGGCCAGTTTTGACCCCCGGGCTTTTATTTGAACAAACTTTGTAGATATTTACTTAAAGATGTTTCATGCTTAATATCTAAACTCTAACTATTTGGGTTTTTTCAAAGAAGATTTTAAGTTTTTGCTATACACATACAATGTATAAGGAAAATCAATGACCCCCGGGGCGGGGCCAGTTTTGACCCCAGGGCTTTTATTTGAACATACTTGGTAGACACCCATTAGAACATGTTTCATGCTAAATATCTTAGCTCTAGCTCTTTGGGTTCTTTAAAAGAAGATTTTTAAGTTTTTACTAAATGCATATAGGGAAAATCAATGACCCCCTGGGGCAGGGCCAATTTTGACCCCAGGGCTTTTATTTGAACAAACTTGGTAGACATTCACTAGAAGATGTTTCATGCCAAATATCTTAGCTCTAGCTCTTTGGGTTCTTTAAAAGAAGATTTTTTAAGTTTTTACTATATGCATATAGGGAAAATCTATGACCCCCTGGGGCAGGGCCAATTTTGACCTCAGGGCTTTTATTTGAACAAACTTGGTAGACACTCATTAGAAGATGTTTCATGCCAAATATCTTAGCTCCAGCTCTTACAGTTCTTTAAAAGAAGATTTTTTAAGTTTTTACTATATGCATATAGGGAAAATCAATGACCCCCTGGGGCGGGACCAATTTTGACCCCAGGGCTTTTATTTGAACAAACTTTGTAGACATTCACTAGAAGATGCTTCATGCCAAATATCTAAGCTCTAGCTCTTACAGTTCTTTAAAAGAACATTTTTTAAGTTTTTACTATATGCATATAGGGAAAATCAATGACCCCCCGGGGCGGGGCTAATTTTGAGCCCAGGGCTTTTATTTGAACAAACTTGGTAAACATTCACTAGAAGATGTTTCATGCCAAATATCTTAGCTCTAGCTCTTACAGTTCTTTAAAAGAAGATTTTTTAAGTTTTTACTATATGCATATAGGGAAAATCAATGACCCCCTGGGGCGGGGCCAATTTTGACCCCAGGGCTTTTATTTGAACAAACTTTGTAGACATTCACTAGAAGATGCTTCATGCCAAATATCTAAGCTCTAGCTCTTACAGTTCTTTAAAAGAAGATTTTTTAAGTTTTTACTATATGCATATAGGGAAAATCTATGACCCCCTGGGGCAGGGCCAATTTTGACCTCAGGGCTTTTATTTGAACAAACTTGGTAGACACTCATTAGAAGATGTTTCATGCCAAATATCTTAGCTCTAGCTCTTACAGTTCTTTAAAAGAAGATTTTTTTAAGTTTTTACTATATGCATATAGGGAAAATCAATGACCCCCTGGGGCGGGGCCAATTTTGACCCCAGGGCTTTTATTTGAACAAACTTTGTAGACATTCACTAGAAGATGCTTCATGCCAAATATCTAAGCTCTAGCTCTTACAGTTCTTTAAAAGAAGATTTTTTAAGTTTTTACTATATGCATACAGGGGAAAATCAATGACCCCCGGGGCGGGGCCAATTTTGACCCCCGGGCTTTTATTTGAACAAACTTTGTAGACATTCACTAGAAGATGTTTCATGCCAAATATCTTAGCTCTAGCTCTTTGGGTTCTTTAAAAGAAGATTTTTTAAGTTTTTACTATATGCATATAGGGAAAATCTATGACCCCCTGGGGCAGGGCCAATTTTGACCCCAGGGCTTTTATTTGAACAAACTTGGTAGACACTCATTAGAAGATGTTTCATGCCAAATATCTTAGCTCTAGCTCTTACAGTTCTTTAAAAGAAGATTTTTTAAGTTTTTACTATATGCATATAGGGAAAATCAATGACCCCCTGGGGCGGGACCAATTTTGACCCCAGGGCTTTTATTTGAACAAACTTTGTAGACATTCACTAGAAGATGCTTCATGCCAAATATCTAAGCTCTAGCTCTTACAGTTCTTTAAAAGAAGATTTTTTAAGTTTTTACTATATGCATATAGGGAAAATCAATGACCCCCCGGGGCGGGGCTTATTTTGACCCCAGGGCTTTTATTTGAACAAACTTGGTAGACATTCACTAGAAGATGTTTCATGCCAAATATCTTAGCTCTAGCTCTTACAGTTCTTTAAAAGAAGATTTTTTAAGTTTTTACTATATGCATATAGGGAAAATCAATGACCCCCCAGGGCGGGGCTAATTTTGACCCCAGGGCTTTTATTTGAACAAACTTGGTAGACACTTATTAGAAGATGTTTCATGCCAAATATCTTAGCTCTAGCTCTTTGGGTTCTTTAAAAGAAGATTTTTTAAGTTTTTACTATATGCATATAGGGAAAATCTATGACCCCCTGGGGCAGGGCCAATTTTGACCTCAGGGCTTTTATTTGAACAAACTTGGTAGACACTCATTAGAAGATGTTTCATGCCAAATATCTAAGCTCTAGCTCTTAGGGTTGTTTTAAAGATTTTTCTTTCGGTTGCCATGACAACCAGAGTTCTGCATGGAATTAAATTCTTTGAACAATTTTTAAAGGTGACCACCAAAGGAACATTCCTGTGAAGTTTGGATGAAATTGGCTCAGTGGTTTAGGAGGAGATGTCATTTAAAGCAAAAGTTTACGGACAGACGGACGACGGACGGACGGACGCCGGACGGACGGACGACGGACGGACGCCGGACGAAAAGCGATCACAAAAGCTCACCCTGTCACTTTGTGACAGGTGAGCTAAAAACAAGCAAATTCGTTGAATTTATATCCCCCACCGAGTACTGGTTATAATAACACAACAACTGAAGACATAAGGCTTTATATATATATATTAATCATGGCATAAACAGTAATATTCTTTGAACTTGATAAATATTCAGGGCAATAACAGGGCCATAACTTCGTGTTAAATAGTAAAATCTGGAAATGCCAATGAGATGTATGCATACTACATAACTAATCAAGGGCCATAAATCTGAGTTATAAGTATCTGACTGGAACAAGGCGACTATATGCATATCTCCTCTTAGTATCCCATAAAGTTTCATTGAATTCCAGCCAGTTGTAGCAGAGAAGTAGCGAGGAAACAAATATTTTTCTATATGGATACTGCATAACTAATCAAGGGCCATAACTCTGAGTTAAAGTGTCTGACCGGAACAAGCCGACGATATGCGCATCTCCTCTTGGTATTGAAGGTTCCCATAAAGTTTCGTTGAATTCCAGCCAGTAGTTGCAGAGAAGTAGTGCGGAAACGATTTTTACTCTATATGCATACTACATAACTAATCAAGGGCCATAACTCTGAGTTAAAGTGTCTGACCGGAACAAGCCGACGATATGCGCATCTCCTCTTGATATTGATGATTCCCATAAAGTTTCGTTGAATTCCAGCCTGTAGTTGCAGAGAACTACTCCGGAAACGAAATTCGGACGGACGGATGGACGGACAACGCCAAAACTATATCCCCCTCCCGATTCCATCGGCGGGGGATAACAAAATAACTGTGTTCTTGCAATTTATTCATAACTGCCATCATGTTTCTTTAAATCTGCAGGTCAGTTCAGAATATTATTAATATATATACTTTTTGTTTAGTTTAAATCATATCAATGCAGTAAATGTCTTAAGGCTCACTAATAAACAAGACCTCAGATGGAGATGACAAATCTCTCCATTAGGTTTGTCAGAGACTGCAAAATGTCTGATACTGGAAGTCACATTATATAGGTACAGAAGGAAAAAAAAGGGTAATATTTTGGAAGTAAATCATAGTCAGGTGTAAATGGTTGAGTTTTAGTCATGTGACACTGCAAAAGTCACATGGAAACTTTCCAGCTTAAATTGTAGTGGTAGAACTGAGACACCCACTGTGTTTTGTCAGGACAAAATATATATACTAGTAGAACCACTAATTTTCCGTTAGCTAGCCAGATAGCTTCCTCACATGATAGAACATTAACTCACTGACGGGATTCAAACCCACAGTGATGAGGTTCAAGTGACGCTCAGTCAGAAACCTTAACCACTCAACCTCAGAGCCTCCTCCGACCCATTTCAGCCTGTAACAGGGGGATAAGTAGAAGAGCACTTACTGCTATTCCAATCAGCATGCTTTCTCCCACCACAAACTGCATTTTCAGTCCAAACAATCCATTCATACTTCGCATCTGTAACAGAAAATGTATTATCATAAATTATAAATGGAAAAATTGTACAATCACAGCTTATAATGGAAAAAATTGTGTTATTGCAGCTTATAATGGATAAATTGGATAATCAAAAAAAATAAATGGAAAAATTGTTTTATCAAAGATAATAATGGAAAAATTGGATTATCAAATACTACAAATGGAAATATTGTATCATCGAAGCCTATTGGATGATCAAAAATTATAAATGGAAAACTGTCTTATCAAAGCTTATATTAATGGAAAAATTAGATTACCAAATATAAATACATGTAAATGGAAAACTGTATCATCAAAGCAAAAATATATAATGGAAAATTTGGATTATCAAAAATTATAAATAGAAAACTGTATTATCAAAGCTTACAATGGAAAAGTTGCAAACTTTATAAATTGAAAAACTACAATGGGAAAATAATTTCATTATCAAAATTTAAAAACAGAAATTTCTCATCCAGATTTGTCAAACAGTAAACTGTTTCTTTTTAAACTTATAAAACTTGCTTTTAGATAATGATTTTACTTACTTTAAGTTTGTTCATTAACTGATTGTGTAGATCATATTCCAGAAATGGAAGAATCTGAAAACAAACAAGACGTAAGTTATTCTTACAACAGGATTTGTCAATCAATTTTCTTGCATATCAGACTTGTGCTTCCCTTAGTTTTACTCTTGTCGGCATGGGGGTGCCTGATGAGTCACGGGCTATAAAGTGGCAAGCTTAGGATGAAGAAATTCCGCTGTTATGAATGAAGTTGTCATTTCATATGCTGTTGTAAGAAAATAGTGTAATAACATAAATTTCCATGGATAATTGTTTTGTTAAGGTCAAGAATTTAAAATATGACAGAATATGGTAGAATATGCAAGAAATATGTTGAAACCCGCCCATGGGCTGTAACTTGGCATGTCTCGCTCGTTACCTCCAAATGGGTGGGACTCCTCAGGACGGATATTCTTATCTGAACCACAATATATGACAGATATTATTAATCTTATCATATAAGTCTAATTTTTCATGTGCAACAAGTAAAAATTCATTTATTGTTAACAAAAGCAGACTAATCTTGCATTATATTCATTTCATCACATTTAAAAAGCATTGATCATTTTAAAATAGTCTTTAACACTAGTGCTGTGGCCTATGGCTTATAAAAGTTTGTTCTGGCATGTAATGTTTAATGCTTTTGAATATACATGTACTGAGGTTTTTTTTTAATGACTGGAGAAGAAATAATTTTTCAAGATGTTCCACTTGATGAAGGTCTAGACCAATAACTTGTTTATTCTGAGTATATTTCTAAGAATAGTCTTCTCTACAAATCTGTCTGTTTAAAGTGCCCCAGTTGATCTATGTAAGAAATTCATATCTTATGTTTTTAAGCTTTTGAATCTCAGTGGAGTTCCTTTAAATTCTATAAAAATAAGAGAATTAGAGTTAATGAAAATGGAACCTTAAATTCTAACTAAAAGCAGAAGATAAAACTGCGAAGAGCTAAGCTCCAATTACAAACTATTATATACAAACTATTCTCTCTTTTTTTATCGAGGAGTTTTCTCCCTTTCCAAACGCTTGTAAAACTTTGCTGAAATATTTTTATAATAACTTACATCACTAATCTCTTTTGCATTTGCCTCAGCTTTGCTGTTTATTTTGGGTCTTATAACTCTGTAAAGAAACAGGAAACAAGATTGCATTTGAGAAAAATGCTATGCCACCGCATTAATCCTTGTACCTTCAGACAATAAGATTTTTTTATTTTTTTACTATATGTTTATATTGAAAATCAATGACCCCCGGGGCGAAGGCAATTTTGACCCCATTGCTATAATTTAAACAATCTTGCTAGAAGTTCATTTCATAATGTTTCATGCAAAATATCTAACCTCTAGCATTTGTCAATTACTAGAAGAAATTTTTTTAAAGTTTTTACTACAAGTCATGTTTAAGTTTTTACTATATACATATAAGGAAAACCAATGACCCATGGGGCGGGGCCGATTCTGATCCCAGGGCTATAATTTGAATAATCTTGGTAGAGGTCTACCAGACAATGCCTTATGCAAAATATCTAAGCTCTAGGCCTTTTGGGTCTTTACAAGAAGGTATTTTAAGTTTTTACTATATGTACATATAGTGAAAATCAATGACCCCCGGGGCGGGCCGATTTTGACCCCAGGGCTATAATTTGAACAATCATGGTAATGGTCTACCAGACAATGCCTTATGCAAAATATCTAAGCTCTAAGCCTTTTGGGTCTTTACAAGAAGGTATTTTAAGGTTTAGCTATATGTACATATAGTGAAAATCAATGACCCCTGGGCGGGGCCGATCTTGACCCCAGGGCTATAATTTGAACAATCTTGGTAGAGGTCTACCAGACAATGCCTTATGCAAAATATCTAAGCTCTAGGCCTTTTGGTTCTTTACAAGAAGATTTTTTAAATTTATTCTTATAATTCCTTTTGGTTGCCATGGCAACCAGATTTCTGCATGGAATAAAATTCTTTCAACAACTTTGGAAGCCCTTCACCCAAGGATCAATCCTGCCAAGTTTGGTTGAAATTGGACTAGTGGTTTTTCACAAGAAGATTTTTTAAGTTCACTATATAATCTATATAACACACACACACACAAACAAACACACACACAGGTGAATCGCTATATGCCACCGCATCACAGATGCTGCGGTGGCATAAAAATGTAGCAAAAATAAAGGAAAAATATAGTAAAAACAGGGAGAAAAACACATTCCTCTTTTGTGAAATCTCAGGAAGAATTATAAAGAGATAGTTTCCCTTACTGTACACAATTTTCCAGACAATACATAATTACCTCCCTTGATTTGACTATAAATCCAGAAAAAGGCTTTTGAGAATAACTGCAAATTGATAATGAAATTTTGACATCATTTGAAGACAAAATTTTACTCACAAACATTGCAGATGAAGATACAAATTTTGTTCCAAAACATGACCCCTTACCCTTGTTTCTTGTTGTTTTTTGTTGTTGTTGTTTTTTTTCTTTACATGTTTCTGTTATTTTATACTAAGATCATGCAAGGTTTAAATAAAAAGAGAGTATTGAATAAGTGTAAGTTAAATACTGAATTCATTAAACAAGTTGAATAAAATTATATTATGTGAGCCTCTGATGAGCATATCATTTTTTTCAATGAAATCAATAAATTTAGTATTGAATCAACACACAAAATATAATTTACTATTTATCACATATCCAAAATAAGACTGTTTACAGTAAAAATATATAACATTTTTATTGACACACCAATGGTGTTCTAACATTAAGCCTGTATTTTTCTTTGTAAAAAGTAAATATATACATGGCCATGCAATACAATTTTTACAAAGTAGCAAAAGCAGCACTTGTTTTGTTTTGTTAAGTTTTACTGCAAATGAACACAGTTTGGGCTGTATGGCACCAGAACAGGACAGATGATTTTGGCTGACCTCAGGTGTTACAAACTTTAAGCAACACCAGGGGTCAAAGTCACCTCACCTGCTGGAGCTTAGATATGCTTAGACCTAAATGATTAGAACCCATTTATTCGCCTTTTACGTTCCCAGAATTACGGTGGCTGCATTTCTGATGCCTTAACCCCTAAAGACAACCCCTCAGCCACAAAGGGGGCAAAAGTGGCACAGGTATGTGATAAATTTTATTATGTAGTTTTTAATCCGTATCTATACTTAACTCTGGCATATACCTTTAATACATGCACCACTCACCTGGCTTGTAAGAATGCACCTTTACCAACAGTTTGTATCTCTGGTGGTGGATTTATTGTTGTAAATAACACGTCAGGTACATATCTCTTCCTGTAAAATATTATAGATATCATATTTACTTTCTAAGTAAGGTATTTTTTGTATTCTCCACAGTATTTTATTATATTATGATGCCAATCTGCATCACCTATTTCATAGTCATCTTGACTTTGGACCAACTAATCCATGGATTTATAAAAAGTATAAAATACTCCAAATATTTGTGCTTTGAGAAATGGTAAGTTGGCGTGATGAAAGGATTGAGGAAAGGACCTGGGCTAAAGGATGAACCAACAAGAGCCACCGCCGGGCGGGGGCAACGCTCGACTTTTTACTTTTTCTAAACGCAAACATAGAAAGGTTTGAACATATATTGATGTTTCCTTTTTATAAATTTAGTTGGTCTGTCTTGTCACATTAGTTTTGTTTATATATTTTGTATATATATGAATACAAAAATTAAGCATATTTCTAAAAATAGCAACAATACGCAATTTCTAAAAAATAGCAACAATGACGCAATTTCTAAAAATAGCAACAATGACGCAATTTCTAAAAATAGAAAAAATGACGCAATTTCTAAAAATAGAAAAAAATGACGCAATTTCTAAAAATAGAAACAATGACGCAATTTCTAAAAATAGAAAAAAAAAATGATGCAATTTCTAAAAATAGAAACAATGACGCAATTTCTAAAAATAGAAAAAAATTACGCAATTACTAAAAATAGATAAAATGACGCAATTTCTAAAAATAGAAAAAAATGACGCAATTTCTAAAAATAGCAACAATGATGCAATTTCTAAAAATAGAAAAAATGACGCAATTTCTAAAAATAGAAAAAAATTACGCAATTACTAAAAATAGATAAAATGACGCAATTTCTAAAAATAGAAAAAAATGACGCAATTTCTAAAAATAGCAACAATGACGCAATTTCTAAAAATAGAAAAAATGACGCAATTTCTAAAAATAGAAAAACATGACGCAATTTCTAAAAATAGATAAAATGACGCAATTTCTAAAAATAGAAAAAAAATGACGCAATTTCTAAAAATAGAAAAAATGACGCAATTTCTAAAAAAAGAAAAAAATGACGCAATTTCTAAAAATAGAAAAAAAATGACGCAATTTCTAAAAATAGAAAAACATGACGCAATTTCTAAAAATAGAAAAACATGACGCAATTATATTATATGTTATTTTGGTTTTGGAGTGATATATGTGGATATATTACTTGTTAAGATTTTATATCACCCGAGCCGTTAGGCGAGGGTGATATTTTATCTTGGCAGGTAATATATCCACATATATCACTCCAAAACCAAAATAATAATTTTATTATCCTTCCCCTGCCGAGTTTAGACGATTTTTTAAAAAATCATTGCTGTTTCAAATGAAACGTCGAAATAAGATTCCCTTTAGGATACCTCTTCGTCACAACATGACGTCACATAAAGACATGACGTATTTTTCCCGTACCTTACGAAAGTAAACAAGAGAAAAGGAGTAGTCTATTGAACGCACTTTTTTGTAATTAATATCAAGCTTTCACAAGGTCATATTTGTTTTTGATACTGATGGTAATATGTATCATTACTCTACTTTGGTAAATATTGATCATTTGACAGTTAAAAAGTGTTTTTAAATCGGAATTTACACCGCGTAAAATCGAACCGTACGCGCATCACCCCGGCGCATGTTGTTCACATCGTTGGGTACCAAACGGGGAAATTTAGTGTGTATATTACCCGTCTGGCTCGGTTATATCAATTTCTTTCGGGTAATCAATATCCAATCAAAAGGCGGAAAAAATCTGGAAGGGTAATAAACATGTATATATATGTATATATATATATTTGATATATATATATATCTATATATGTATATATATATATATATATATATACATGCATATATATATTATATGTTATTTTGGTTTTGGAGTGATATATGTGGATATATTACCTGTTAAGATTTTATATCACCCGAGCCGTTAGGCGAGGGTGATATTTCATCTTGGCAGGTAATATATCCACATATATCACTCCAAAACCAAAATAATACTTTTATTACCCTTCCCCTGCCGAGTTTAGACGATTTTTAAAAAAATCATTGCTGTTTCAAATGAAACGTCGAAATAAGATTCCCTTTAGGATACCTCTTCGTCACAACATGACGTCACATAAATACATGACGTATTTTTCCCGTACCTTACGAAAGTAAACAAGAGAAAAGGAGTAGCTAGTCTATTGAACGCATTTTTTGTAATTAATATCAAGCTTTCACAAGGTCATATTTGTTTTCGATACTGATGGTAATATGTATCATTACTCTACTTTGGTAAATATTGATCATTTGACAGTTAAAAAGTGCTTTTAAATCGGAATTTACACCTCGTAAAATCGAACCGTACGCGCATCACCTCAGCGCATGTTGTTTACAACGTTGGGTACCAAACGGGGAAATTTAGTGTGTATATTACCCGTCTGGCTTGGTTATATCAATTTCTTTTGGGTGATCAATATCCAATCAAAAAGGCGGAAACAATCTGGAAGGGTAATAAATATATATATTTATATATATATATACCTGCATATATGTATATATATACACACACATTTATATATATATATATATATAATACATATACTATACATACACACACACCAATAAATGCACAATCTGAGAAAATTCAGAAATATAACCTTCAAGGTCAAGGTCATTAAAGAGCCCAAGCAAATTTGGGTTTGATAAACAACAAGGTCTGGTCCTTAAGAATGTTCTGTTATAATATGAAGTTTATCCCTTCAAAAATAGCAAAGTTACAGTCAGTTGCCAAAACAATGAAAATTTCAATAATTTGACCTTCAAAGGCAGTGTCATTAATGAGTGAAGGTCAAGGTCTTTCGGTATATTTTTAACAGTTATCTTTGAAGATTATTATGTTCAAGTTTGAAGACAATCCATTCAAAAATAACAAAGTTACAGCCAATAATAGCCAAAAAAATGAAAATTTCAATAATTTGACCTTCAAAGTCAAGGTCATTGGATGAGTGAATGTCAAGGTCTGACTGGTTATTTTTAAGGGATATCCTTGAAGTTTATTATGTTCAAGTTTGAAGACAATCCATTCAAAAATAACAAAGTAACAGCCAATAACAGCATGAACAAGCAAAAATTGGACTTTTAACCTTGAAGGTCAAGGTCATTTATGGATGAAGGTCAAGGTTAGTGTGGTCTACTGAAAGGTCTTGTCCCAAGGGTTGTTGTGGCCAAGTATGAAGACAATACACCAAGAAATAAAAAAGTTATGATCCAGGTACAAGTTTTCGGACGGCAACGGCAACGGAGACGGCAACGCCGACCTGACTATAACAATACCTCTACTTTTTTTTTCAAAAAAAAAAAAGTCGAGCTAAAAACTACATGCTTCAATGGAAATATGGGGATCATCAAAAACCAAAATTATTTATTAAACTTTATGTATACTACATGTACATACCTGCAACATGCACATTGTGACAGGTTGATAGGAAATGGTGCAGAACTAGGTTTGTATGGAATATGGCACAGTGAACATGCGAATCTTGGGCTGCCATCCTCTAAACTGTAAGAAAAGATTAGAAACAACACAAAAAGAATAATTGTTTGTTTAGATTGATTATCAGTTTGAAATTCTTATTACAATTCTTATTCCCCCTCTTCGGTTTGATTTCAAGATATATGAACACTTATGGTGCTCTTTTCAACCACCAAAGTTTAC